GGGTAAGAAAACATTACAGCGCATGTGTGGTAGCAGGTTAGAGTGAGCCAGGACGGCAATGGAAATGTGCGCTGTAGCAGCAAATAGTTTTTTGACCGTGATATCTTTTGTTTGTATGTACGAGTCAGAAATAAATCTGAACAGCTCACATTAAGAAGTGGAAGAATAATTTTTTCGAAGCTTGGGACAGAAATTCGCCACTACAAACACTTTAAACTGGTTACACTGGTGGGTGGTCACGTTAGCGATCAGAAAATGAAGCTTCTCTGTTTCTCCTTAAGTGGAAATATTCACTGCTACAGACACACCAAAGTCAAGCAGCATAGCTCACAGGCAGTGGGTGCTGCCCCTCAGTAGGTTTCTGGAAGCTGGCCAATCAGAACACAGCAGGCTTTCATGGAGCAGAGCCTTAAAGGCGCAGGAGCTACCGTTTTGTTTCAGGTAGAGGATGAAGTGAGGAGCACCAAAACCCAGATTAACCAAAAGTATTTTTTTGGACTGTGAATAAAAATAAAGATTCACTTATTGAGAAATGAGCAAAGTTGCAAAGAAATAATATCATGTAGTATAACACAGTGTGTGTCGTTTGTGTGTTAGCCATACAAAAGGAACATTTACACAGTTATTTAAAGTATTAATACAATATTTACTGATTATTGAATACACATGATCATGACAGCTTTTCTGAACAGTGCCAAGAGATGAAAACTGACTAACAGGATTGTCAGATTTCTCTCTCGCTGCCTGTGAACACGCCTTCCCCCCTTTCCTCGTCCTTCGTGTTTGACCAACAGTAGCAGATTTTCCAACAGCACCGAAGGCTATTAAATCTACCTCCGACTGATCTGGTATGGAAATCTCATTTTTTTATGATACGCATGTTTGGTTTGGCCAAGATGTTACACCACATGTCTTTTATGATGCAACGGTCCCCGCCTGCACGAGGAGTGCCCTGCCTTTCCCACTTTTACGGAAACGTCCCGATTACTCACTCGATAGTCGTCTCATCCAACACTCCCGTCACAGGGATGCCGTAGAAGCGCTGCATGGCGGCCACGGCAGACTGCATGGCCTTCTCCTGCCGCAGGTCTGATGTCCGAACGTCGTGAGGCAGCAGGTAGCCGTAGTTCTTCAGCCACGTCTGAGAGAAACACGGACAGAAGAGGTCGGTTACACAGGACTAACCTGCTAGACAGTAGAGCCACAACAGACTTACTGTAGATCCTTCTTAATTCCCAATTATAGAAACATATTAAACATACATCATAGACTTCTCTAGAGTCCATATGCACAATAGAAAGCTGTGGTAGTGTCCATGGTGCTGAAGCGCAGGCCAAATGTAACCAGGTCGTGTAACTTAAAGACTAAGGTGTGCTAATTATTTTGTCATGTTGGTTGCCTTAGACACACACGTTTATAAAATAATTGCAGACAGATGAATGTGACATTTCTTTGAGTTTCATGGTGTCAGCGCAGCACCGCCCGCAGCACCGCCCCTCCCCACCTTCCCACCAATAAGCTGACAGCTGCCATTTGGATTCAAATCCACGCTCCTTGCAGGGTCTCACAGGTCTCCCTCTGACCTGCTGAGGAAACCTTTGATCATAACAATATAACCGTTCAAATATTACAAAACAGGCTGTGCTTACAGCCCCAGAGAACAATCGCACATTAAAGTTTCCCTCAGTGTTCAAGTAATTCAACAATAACTCCTGCACATCAGCAGGTTTGCAGCAACATGCAGCTGCCAATAGCTGGTTCAGTTTTTACATCAAGTTTCATGTTCCTGTGGCCTCAAAACACCACAATTTATTGGAACAATAGTTCAAAACACAGAAAAAAGGTGTAACGAAAAAAGGTGGACAAAACAGATTCAGGGTGAGTGAAAAGAAGACATTGAACATGTCGGAGAGAAACTGGGGAGCCAGTTCCTCCAAATCCCAGAAAATCGAATTCACACCGATCCAAAATCGATGCTGAATCCACAGTTTTCCTCGGATGAGTCTTATTACGTCGTATTTTTCATTTAGCAGCCGCCTGTCTCTTTAATGTGACATAACACAATCTCACAAGCCTCTGGAGGGAGAGCGAGGAAAGGCAGAGAGGAAGGCGGGTAAATGAAGAGGAGAGAAGAAGAAAAGATGGAAAAATAAAAAGGAGGCTGTTGAAAGAGCGAACAGCAGCACGGAGAGATAAGAGGCAGAAGGTTTCAGAGGGAGAGGACACGAGAGGCGGGTGAGGTAATGAGGGGGGAGGCTGAGCTGTTCTCTACAGTAGGTCATTAATAATTCAGAGCGAGGCAGCCTCTCCCAGCAAGTCCGGGCCCAGAAAAGCAAACGCCGGCCCGACCACAGCTTTCCAACACCGAGGGCATTTATGGAAGCCCGTTTCCCCCAGCGAAGACGCGTCGAGCAGGAAAACACGACTAAGAAGATGTTACATTAAAGTCAGTCAAGATAAAACCTGAGTGTGAAAAACACGACGTTTGACCAACGTTAATTTAAGATTATTGAACCACTCATGAGACAGATTAGGGAACATTTTTCCATAAAAGGGAGAATCGTGAGATTTCAGTTCCATTATTTTATTTATATAGCATCAAATCATAACACATACCACATGATGCTTAAATTACAATATTTGCAATTAAACAAAGCACGTGAGGTCATTGTTTAAGCCAATAAGTCAACACAATGAATTATTAGGTGACGCTGAAGAGATTAAAAGACAAGATTTCGAGGAAAGAGTCAGAAATATGATAGAATAAGTGAAACTGATGTGGCAAAGATAAAGATTTAAATCACTATAAACATAATAAACAGAAGTAGAGATAAAAAAAATCTAAATTTGTAAACATAATTTTAAATAATGGTTTTATTTATCAAATAACATTTTAAAGAGTTAAAATAGTGCAGCTAGTTTATCATATCCTGAAAGCACAGATGCTCTTCCATATTTCTAGTCTGAACAGAGGAAACACGAGTCAGCATGAGCGTGTCTTTCTTGTATTATAATCAATCATTTTACTGGACAGCTAATTGCTGTTGATGCTCACATGTGTTTAGATTTGAGATGCAGGGTTTCTGATGTGAGAGCTGGTCTGTAACGCCGCTGTTTAGCTAACTTATTTAGACTCTGTGCCGATCTGCTTTTAATCCAAAGTGTAAATGTAGACACAAAGTGCCACATGGTCCATGAGCTGAGAGGAAACTGACTGCTTACAATCCAATTAAAAGCTCCCCTGCAATAAATCTGTGGCGATGACAACTTCCACTGCAACAAAACATCTAAATCTGATTCATGTGATTTCATCCTGTCCCATCTGCTCAGGCAATAAAAAACAGAAACATATCTGAGCTCCGGGCAACAAACACAAACTCTCTTACAGCATCTGGCAGGCCTACGTTTCACTGTGAGAAGGAAACGAGTCAGTAAGGAGCAGCGTGCACGCTAAACTCTGCAATTACAGACACAACGAGAACAATGAGCCCGTTCGGTTTGTGAGGACCGGGAAATATTTCCAGGCCTCTGAAACAAGCGTGAGCCCTAAAGCTGTGATTCACTCGTCGTACATCTCTTTGAAGGCTGGTCACCTGTAGGAGCTCCAAGCTCTGGTTGCCTAGGTGACCTAATTGATTTATTACCAGGTCAAATGTCAATCAACATATACATTTATTTGTAGCCGCTTCAGTCACTCGTATGGAAGTTGAGAACTGCTTAGCTTGAATCCCGCTCGGTTCACCCTCGTCGTTACTTCACAGTCGTGAGTAGCTGCAGGTCAGGAGGTGCAGCAGGTCGTCTACTAACGGTAAGGTTGGTGGTTCGATCCCTGGTTGCTGTGCGTGCCAAAGACACTGAGGTCTAAGTTTCTCTCTGATGGTTCCATCAGAGTGTTTGATGTTAGACTGAAAGCACTCAGGCGCAGAAAAAAGCGAATGAGTCATGTTGTAAAAAAGCCCTTTGAGAGCTCAAGTAGAGCCGGTGCGTTTATTTTCTGTTCCAGTGTTTGCATCGCTCAAAGACAAATGTGAAGCAAAGTTTTCCTTTGGTTAAGATATTAAAGAAAATCTCTAAACCATCAGCAGCTACCAGAAGCGGAGGATAAAGTAATTATTTTTGCTGAGCATGAAAGCAAAGCTTACCCTCATTTACGGTCACAAACTGAGGGTTAGACTGCGGCACCCACGAGCTGGACCTGGATAAGCCACAGGATGACCTGATGGATGAGATCAGCCTATCCACGACACACGGTTAGTCACTAATATGTCATCCATTGCAGGAGCAGCTGGAAACAGGGTCAGTACATCCAGAATTAACCAGCCGCTAGAGGAAGAACAAAATAAAGGAGGAAAATGAGTGAAATTATATTCCTTAGAGGTGTTTCCTGAAATATGTTACTGTTATTTGAGCCCAGCTGTCAGCTGTACTCCTCTTTTCTCCCCTTGGTGCTTTTCTAAAAACATGCCAGTAACACAAGGCCATCCTTTGCTTCGAATGGAAATAACAGTCTGCTCGGGTCCAAGTGGCAAAAAGCAAAAGTCCATGTGCCCTACAATGTGTTGTCACTGAGCAGAGCTGCCTGCCTACACGTTTTAACTGCAGTGCATGCGACCGTGCATGAGCCATCCGGGCAGAGATGAAAAAAGTAAATGGTCTGTATTTGTATAGCGCTTTACTCGTCCCTAAGGACCCCAAAGATTTACGCACACATTCACACACTGGTGATGGCAGCTACATTGTAGCCACAGCCACCCTGGGGCGCACTGACAGAGGCGAGGCTGCCGGACACTGGCGCCACCGGGCCCTCTGACCACCACCAGTAGGCAACGTGTGAAGTGTCTTGCCCAAGGACACAACGACCGAACCGGCAACCTTCCGATTACAAGGCGAACTCCCAACTCTTGAGCCACGATCGCCCCAACAACAACAGCAACTGATGGTGTGCAGCTGTGCGCAGCTGTCCTCGTCCTCATCAATGAGCGCGAGTCAGGCCTCAGACACACCTGATTCAGATCTCAACGCCTCTTTGAAGTTGTCCTCCGAGCGCCTCGCTACGATCGTTTTAAATCCACACGCACTGAAATACTGAACTTTCTGCTTCTGTGAGGCCTCTGAGGACCCCGTACTGCACCGGTCACCGTGTCTGTGAGTCCTCATGTGCATCCATGTGGTTGTGTACGTCTGTGTGTGTGCGTGTGTGTGTGTGTGTTCAGAGCTTTGATGGAAGTGTAATAATTGTTGTATAATAGCAGCTGGTGAATTATTTAATTCAAACTACTTCCTCTGAGCTGGCAGCTGCTGGATGAGCACACACACACACACACACACACACACACACACACACACACGTTTTCATCACTTCAGAGGACGTTACATTCACTTACATTTATTTTCTGAACACTTAAACTGACCATAACTTTAAACACGTCCCCATTTTAAAACAATGATTCGTGACTTAAAGATTTTCTTTGTCTCTGAACTGAAACCAAGTCAAATTGACAGCCCATGCGTCCTTCTGCTTTACGAGGTCTCGTTCTGACATGATACCCTCTCTGGGCTTTTATCCAGCCCACAGATGGACCGAGTGCCACCCGGTGTTTTCACTGAAGAGCTCAGAGTTGCAGCTTTTGTTCAGAGCCATCATTTCCTGTTGAATCCAGAAACTACCAGATAACTGGTGCAGGGTGTTAGCTTTCACAGTCTGAAAGGACAAACCTCTCTACCTCAGACCAGAGTGATGCTAGAACAACAGTACAACAGGTAAAGTAATCATCTTTGTAGAAAGAAATAATCCCTTAAATAACAGCTCCGTCAGCTGGAGGCAGGACAGCGTCCGGGCCGACTTCTGTCACACAGCTGTCAACCAACGACCAGCAAAGCCTCCTGTAAGCCTTCAAATCTAATTAATGGGCCAATAATGTCCCACAGGACGAGCGGCACACATATTAGAGAGCCTGAATTTATCAATGGAGGCCATAATTGCTTGCTGAAGAAATGACAGGCTTAGTATTTCTACTAAGATGGTGCTTTCTGAATGGAAGTGAATAGAACTTGAGCGGGAGGCGTTCTGAAGCCACAATCGAGTGTATAATTCACTTTAAGCTGCTTCCATACTTCTTTGAACTGCGGACTGATCAAAAA